TCGACACGCCAATTCACCTGAAACCAATTATCATAATTAATTGCAGTTCGCCCAGCGAAAATTAACATAATCATTATTATTTCCTCATTAACTCGGCGCCAAAATGAAGTGCATTCGCGTGCGACGACGCCGCAATTAAAGTTTTTCTTTTTAACATTTTTCCTCCTGAAATATTCATATGCAATCTATTTCATCTAAACTTTCGGTTAGAATTTATGCAATTTTCGATAAACTGAAATAATTATTTTGTATGAAAAACTTCTGAAACTATTATTAATAGTGAAGAATAATTTACCATTATTTTCTTATGATCTTTACAAATCAGTTATTTCTTCTATTATAGATACTAAACTTGAATTGTTAACTTAGTTTGTTAATGACAATTAATGGAATATTCATAATTTATGAAAAAAATCTTGAAAATTTCTAATAAACAATATTTTAAAACTGAAAGATTTTCTAGTTTCAAATATTCGATGAGAACTTCATTTCACTTTTTTTCCAAAATTGGTTATTACTTATGTAAACTTGAAATATGGATACTAATAACAGCAGTAAATAATAATTACTGGTAATAAAGTGTGAAATGCATGGTTGCGATCGTGTTAAATAATAATCGCGTCTTGCGGCGGAACAATGGGGTTCGGATCAGATGATAAAGTCACAAAGTTGGGGGATATATGCAGATAACGGGAGGAATAATGCGCCGCAATCGAGGCTCCACCGTCGGAATAATAATTGTTTTGGCCTAATTAAGGTCCCCTTTTCAAATCCCGCTATCACCTACTACACAACACTACAACACAACACTATTATACACAAAATGATAACTTAATCACTGCCAACGCTCAACACAATATCCCATAGTTTTTTTGCTGCATGTTCACAATTAAACTATTTGCAGTGTCTTTGCACTTTATTCAATTACTCGATATGTTGAATGTACTGAAAGACTTAAGCGTTGTTGAAATATTTTAGGTTTTGCAAGTGGAAAAATTGATTTTATTCCATACATTAAGCAAAAAATAGGCATTTGCGTAATGGAAATGGATATTACAGTAAAACGAGCGGCGGCATCAAAACAGTCGAAATGGCGCTTGATTAACTGTTATGATTATGATTTCGTTGGCTTTTTTTTTGTTCATATCTAGTTTTTGTGTGCGCGCTGCCAAAAATGATGATGATAATAAAAAGGAAATTGGAATGATGACAAATCTGCGGCAAAGTGGACTTTGACACCGTAATTACGCAACGACTATGCGCGGCTGCGGCCACGGCAAAATTCCCCCCTGAATAAATGATAAACTGTTATGAAATATGGAGGGAACGGCGGCAGCCCGTAACTCACATTCTTCCGGTTTCGTAATCATCTTCCAGCTTCATGAAATTCCGCTCTTTTCGTGCGTCATCTCTCGCGGTACAAATTATATCCATCAATGGTAAAATTATTTGTGTTATAAAATCAACTTGAAGCTTTATCTTTGCAGCAGTCTGTCTCTTGTACAAATTATAATATAACATCAATGTAACGTTGAAAAGTAGATGAGAAGTTCGCGGAAGAATACGGCTTTTGAAGTCGAAGAAATTAGTTTCGGAAAGTTTGCGCTTGCGACGATAACTTAGGAGGAGGTGGAGGAGGCTGTTAAATGCACAACGTGTAATGTCATTCATAAATTCAGGACCTCCGCACAATTCCTCTGAGGTTTCGCCCCTTTGCGAACGGGAGGAGGAGAGCGAGTATTCTCTAAATCACGTAGATTACATTTGCATCTGATGAATGACGAATAATAAAAAATATATAAAAACATATTTTCATGAGGAGTAATCCGATTTCGAAGCACGAAAACCGTACTGATTCCATTAGAAAATCAATTAAGTTCAAATCTTGTAAAGTTAAACAACTGTACTTGGATAGGTGATTTATTTATAAACAAGTTTCGTTTGTTAACTTTAATTTTAATTATGTTGTTTTTTAGACTTTTCAGCTTAGCATTTAAAGTTTTTTTTTTACAGTTACATTTAATATTTGATTTATTTTTAGAAACTAAGCTTTCACAAATTGTTCGTTTAATAAATTTCCAATTACAATTTTTGAAATGTACACGTGGAAAAGTATAAAGTTTTCATCGATAAAATTGAACGTGTACCGCAGTTTACGATAAACTGAAATAATTATTTTGTATGAAAAACTTCTGAAACTATTATTAATAGTGAAGAATAATTTAACATTATTTTCTTATGATCTTTACAAATTAATTATTTCTTCTATTATAGATACTAAACTTGAATTGTTAACTTAGTTTGTTAATGACAATTAATGGAATATTCATAATTTATGAAAAATATCTTGAAAATTTCTAATAAACAATATTTTAAAAGTGAAAGATTTTCTAGTTTCAAATATTCGATGAGAACTTCATATGATTTTTTTCCAAAATTAGTTATTACTTGTGTAAACTTGAATAATAAAAAATATATAAAAACACATTTTCATGAGGAGTAATCCGATTTCAAAGCACGAAAACCGTACTGATTCCATTAGAAAATCAATTAAGTTCAAACCTTGTAAAGTTAAACAACTGTACTTGGATAGGTGATTTATTTATAAACAAGTTTCGTTTGTTAACTTTAATTTTAATTATGTTGTTTTGTAGACTTTTCAGCTTAGCATTTAAAGTTTTTTTTTTACAGTTACATTTAATATTTGATTTATCTTTAGAAACAAGCTTTCACAAATTGTTCGTTTAATAAATTTCCAATTACAATTTTTGAAATGTAACGGGAAAAGTATAAAGTTTTCGTCGATAAAATTGAACGTGTACCGCAGTTTACGATAAACTGAAATAATTATTTTGTATGAAAAACTTCTGAAACTATTATTAATAGTGAAGAATAATTTAACATTATTTTCTTATGATCTTTACAAATTAATTATTTCTTCTATTATAGATACTAAACTTGAATTGTTAACTTAGTTTGTTAATGACAATTAATGGAATATTCATAATTTATGAAAAATATCTTGAAAATTTCTAATAAACAATATTTTAAAAGTGAAAGATTTTCTAGTTTCAAATATATGAGAACTTCATATGATTTTTTTCCAAAATTAGTTATTAATTGTGTAAACTTGAATAATAAAAAATATATAAAAACATATTTTCATCAAGAGTAATCCGATTTCAAAGCACGAAAACCGTACTGATTCCATTAGAAAATCAATTAAGTACAAACCTTGCAAAGTTAAACAACTGTACTTGGATAGGTGATTTATTTATAAACAAGTTTCGTTTGTTAACTTTAATTTTAATTATGTTGTTTTGTAGACTTTTCAGCTTAGCATTTAATTTTTTTTTATTTACAGTTACATTTAACATTTGATTTATCTTTAGAAACGAAGCTTTCACAAATTGTTCTTTTAATAAATTTCCAATTACAATTTTTGAAATGTATACGTGGAAAAGTATAAAGTTTTCGTCGATAAAATTGAACGTGTACCGCAGTTTACTTTGGGAAATGCAAATAGCGAATAGCTAATATTATTATGTTATTGCGAGAATGTTATCGTTTCAGACGTTGTTTTCGTTCGTTTTCCATGCAGTATTCCGTTCACAGTTCGTGGAAAACCGACGATTATAATAAACAGATACGTGGGACTAAATAATTATAACAATATGTTTACCATTCATGGCGATATGTTTACTATTATACAGATAATGTTTATAGAAGTATGGGATAATTCACGCAATTTGGACACAACAACTCCATCCATTTGGCTAAACCGCATTATATATTTTGTAGGAATACAATTACTAAATATTATAATAGTTATAACAAAATTAATTAAACATATAATTTTCCAAACACATTTTTTATAATCATTGTTTGATAAAACGTATTTACAAAAATTTTAACAAAAAAAGAATTAAAAAATTGATACAACTCCTCCACTCATTTGTCCAACGTATTTTGTGTTTGTAAATTTGATAGTTTCCATTTGATAAAATCTATGTAATTAAATACGAAACATATGTAATTATATTCAAATAAAAATTGGATACTTCCACTCCATTCATTTGCCAAACGCATTGTGCACATTCTGTATTCTCCAATTGTTGAAATGTATGTAATAAAATATACATACTTCATTCAATTTGGACACAATACCTCTTTTATATTGCATATTGTAAATTTAATTTCTATTTAGTATTATATTATATTCTATTTAGTATTTAACACAATTTTATAATATAAAACATATACAATTATTAGAAATGAATGATTGAATAGACTGTATGGCACAAAGATTAAAGTACGTTGTGTAAAGACTTATGTTTTAGTGACTTTGTAATAAAATATTCGAGTTCATAATGCAAAACTCTTGAAAACGAAAGTAAAAAAACCCAACGGTTTTCATCAAGTTTATTACAATTCGGGAAGTGCTCTTGCTTTAGCTTTTCAAATGAAATCTTCAAAGCTACTGTTAAATTAATAAACATACGACACAACACCTCCACCCTTTTCTAATTATATTTCTGTAGTTTATTTACAAAGAAAGTAACAATATATAATATTATTGATGATTTATATTGATGTGAGAAGTTGTGAATTAACAGAAAAATTATTTTTAAAAAGTTGTACTGATGTTATTATAATGGCTTGTCCAAATCTGGATATTATGAGCGAATTCGCTTCGGTTCTTATCTGCGATTGGACGTGGTAAACAAGGTTTTGGTTACTAATAATTCGCGCGAGGCGTTATTGGAAGTCACGTTTTGTGAATCGATTTGTGGTCACGCAATATGTTTGGATATTCGAAGTAACGTACGTTCCGGTAATTTGGCTGAAAACCGCTTCCAGCTCCACGCATCCGGCCGACTCTCCAAAAGCAACTTTCCAATCCACTGCAGTTATACCACCACCAACATCACCAACATCGAGGATCATCCGATTCGATCATGCACATATAACGAGATTAACGTTGTTTTTCCTTTTTGCAGAGGTCCAGGCACCACAGGGAATCTTTGACCGCTGCGCCTCCAGAAACCACACATATCACTCTTTTAGAAACTAGTAAGTATATACTTATAGAGAAGCGTATGAGAATTCGCTTAACAGTTTGAAAAGGCTATTGATATGGTGTGCATTCAATGGGTGCGGGTTGTGAAAACTAATTTCAAAATCGATAATTTCAATATTCGCAAGGAGCAAGTGAATTTTTGTGTTTTACCTTTTTTTTTTGTCTTTCGAAATCAATCATCATCCAGCCTTGTTATGCGGAGACGTATCGAGCGTAATAAGTTATATTTAAAAAGTAAATCGAACTATATTTGCTCACTTTAGGTGTCAACTACATGTTGTAATATATCTATATTAATAAAGTAGCTTTATTATGATAGAATTTACATATTTAGAGCAAGAAACTAGTGTTGCTGTATTTGTCAGTAATGATGTTTGTCGTTTAAGATCCATGCTTGGTGCACTACTGCAACAAAGGAAGAGAATGCATCCTGGATGAATCCGGAGAAGCGTCCTGCGTCTGCCAACGGAAGTGTCCGGAAGTGGAGGGTCGTCGGGGTCGAAGGTTGGTGTGCGGATCGGACGGGCACATCTACTCCAGCCACTGCGACCTCCATCGAACGGCCTGTCTCTCCGGGATCTCCGTTTCCGTCCGAAGAGGTGTCCACTGCATCAAACACGGTCCGGAACCAAGAACCCCAAAAGACCAATTAACTAAACCGCTGCTGTTTCCTCCTCAGGCAAAGGATGGGCGAATCCGGAGCACGAGGCCCAATGGCTGCGTCCATCTCCGACGACGCCAATTACAACCACCACCGCAGTCAACACCGTCGCAACCATAACAGATGCAACAATGTTAACAACGGTAAGTTTTCTGGAAAGAAAGAATGAATGAAAAAAACAAAAATAAAACAGGAGATGGGAAAGTAGAAACAAACGAAGGATATAAAGAGAAAGGGGGGACCGAAATTTATGGGGACTCGTTTTTACCCGGCCCGTGGGAATTCCGGGATGGCCATAATAATAAAACCGTGTATATGTGTGTGTGATGGTCCGCTGTGTGATGTATGGAGCTATGTATATACATTTCCAGTTATTCCCAGGAATGATTGAGGTGATCTTTTCGTGCTTCGAAGCGAACAGCAAAAAAAAAATACATTGTACAAGGTACAAGACATATCCACTTAAATCCACGACGAAGTTCTTGTTTCTTATGATATTGTGCGTTAATTCATACAACATCTCAGTTTTTCAAACTATACATTATGGTTACATCACGACCTCAACTTTTATACTATTATAAAAACAATATTTATTGGAACAATTGTATGATATTGTTCTAATTAGGGTTTATACAAAAACCGACTTCCTGAAAAACCGGTTTTCGAATCTCAACTTTTTGACAATTTTCTTAATGATGCAACAGATGCAACAATGTTAACAACGGTAAGTTTGCTGGAAAGAAAGAAAGAATGAAAAAGAAGAAACAAAAATAAAACAGGAGATGGGAAAGTAGAAACAAACGAAGGATATAAAGTTTTTCAAACTATACATTAACCCTGTTTTGACAGTTAGGTATAATATTTGATTTATCTTTAGAAACAAAGCTTTCACAAATTGTTCGTTTAATAAATTTCCAATTACAATTTTTGAAATGTATACGTCGAGGAAAAGTATAAAGTTTTCGTCGATAAAATTGAACGTGTATCGCAGTTTACTTTGGCAAAATGCAAATAGCGAATAGCTAATATTTTTCTTGTTTCTTATGATATTGTGCGTTAATTCCTACAACATCTCAGTTTTTCAAACTATACATTATGGTTACATTACGACCTCAACTTTTATACTATTATAAAAACAATATTTATTGGAACAATTATATGATATTGTTATAATTGGTTTATACAAAAACCGACTTCCTGAAAAACCGGTTTTCGAATCTCAACTTTTTGACAATTTTCGTAATGATGCAACAGATGCAACAATGTTAACAACGGTAAGTTTGCTGGAAAGAAATAAAGAATGAAAAAGAAGAAACAAAAATAAAACAGGAGATGGGAAAGTAGAAACAAACGAAGGATATAAAGTTTTTCAAACTATGCATTAACCCTGTTTTGACAGTTAGGTATAATATTTGATTTATCTTTAGAAACAAAGCTTTCACAAATTGTTCGTTTAATAAATTTCCAATTGCAATTTTGAAATGTACACGAGGAAAAGTATAAAGTTTTCGTCGATAAAATTGAACGTGTATCGCAGTTTACTTTGGCTTTGACATTATGGTTACATCACGACCTCAACTTTTATACTATTATAAAAACAATATTTATTTCAACAATTATATGATATTGTTCTAATTAGGGTTTATACAAAAACCGACTTTCTGAAAAACCGGTTTTCGAATCTTAACTTTTTGACAATTTTCATAACAGATGCAACAATGTTAACAACGGTAAGTTTGCTGGAAAGAAAGAAAGAATGAAAAAGAAGAAACTAAAATAAAACAGGAGATGGGAAAGTAGAAACAAACGAAGGATATAAAGTTTTTCAAACTATACATTAACCCTGTTTTTTTTTACAGTTACATTTAATATTTGATTTATCTTTAGAAACAAAGCTTTCACAAATTGTTCGTTTAATAAAATTCCAATTACAATTTTTGAAATGTACACGAGGAAAAGTATAAAGTTTTCGTCGATAAAATTGAACGTGTATCGCAGTTTACTTGGGGAAATGCAAATAGCGAATAGCTAATATTATTCTTGTTTCTTATGATATTGTGCGTTAATTCCTACAACATCTCAGTTTTTAAAACTATACATTAACCCTAGTTATGGTTACATCACGACCTCAACTTTTATACTATTATAAAAAAAAATCTTAGGTTTTTCCCCGATAATAACAATAATATTTATTGGAACAATTATATGATTTAGTTCTAATTAGAGTTTATACAAAAAACGACTTGAAAAACTAGTTTTCGAATCTCAACTTTTTTACAATTTTCTTAATGGAAATAAAATTAATTCAACGATTTTAATTTTAATAAAATTTTAAACTCTATGCAGGAAACTCCGGTGATGGTTTCTTCGGAGATACCTGAAGAAATGACAGAGCCTGCGGTCGTTGACAACGAAATAGAATCGGGTGAGTTCATGGGTAAAGAGAATCCGGATGGATGCACGATGCAGGAGTACGAGATCATGAAGGTGAGCTTTCGGTCGGTCGCATTCGGTTACCGGTGGGTTCTATATATTGTTTGCGCGCATTCCGGATTTCAGGATAATCTGCTGCTGTACAATCACGCCAGATTGATGTCGCAGGACAACCACAGCAAGGACTATCTAGTCTCGATCATGTTTTCGCATTACGACAGCAACAACAACGGCAACCTGGAACCGACGGAGCTGAACGAGGTGAGCATTCCGCATTCCTGCGAATCATCGAGCATCGGGCGTTAATAAATTGCAATTGTTGCAGATCGCCCGCGAGGAGCATCTGAACAGTCTGAGCAGCGGCTGCTCACTCGAGGACATGATTAACTTCGAGGACGGCGATCGAAATGGAAAGCTGAGCATCAACGAGTTCTACATCGCATTCAGCAAACTGTACAGTGAGTTATTTCTAGGGAAAACACACATTCATTTTGCGGAAGCGTAATTCCTGCGGCGTTTTCTCAGGCGTTTCCGTCGTATCTCTGGACAAGGCTTTGGAAACTAATAGAGTGACCGCAAGGGTCGGCGATAACGTCGAGATAAAATGCGACGTGACCGGATCCCCGGTTCCACCGATCGTTTGGCGCAGGAACCATCTGGATCTGTCGACCATCGGCGAAGAGGAGGTCAGGGTCTTCGCAGATGGATCTCTCTATTTGACGAGGATACAGCTTCAGCATGCGGGAAATTACACGTGTCACGCTCAACGCAACAAAGACGTAGTGCAAACGCACATACTTACAGTGCACAGTGAGTCCGAATCGATCTATTTTACTGCAGAAGAATGATGAATAATGTTGTTATCAGCCGTTCCCGAGGTCCACGTAACACCGCGCATTCAATCCAAGAGACCCGGAGAGGATGTCGTCATGTATTGTCACGTTGCTGGAGAGCCGTTCCCTAAGGTAAAGCATATAACTTTGACATTGCACCTCCCTCCAGGGTATAATTTATTATGCTGAAACGAAAACTGTTTAAAAAGTTTATAAGCAAGCAGGATTCGTGACTGTTATAGTAATTATAATGATGACACACCACTCTCATAATTAAACTGCATTTACCATTTATTGGTACAAAAACAAATTAGTCTGATTAAACGCATTGAAATTTATTTGTACAGGTATTCAAAATAATATTTCATTTGAATCAAATTTCATGGAATGAAATTCTATATAAACGAAATTATACATTGAATTCAATTCTATACAAAATAAATTTCAAATAAAATTTTGTAAAATGTGAATTGATTTGATGAATGTAATAAAATATTATTAATTATTGGTTTAGGTGGAATGGTTGAAGAACGATGAGCCTCTGCATTTGGATAGTCCCAAGAAGTACCAGATCGTCGGGAATGGAACGGCGCTGAGGATCAGGAAGATAGGTTTTGCGGATACCGGAGCTTACATGTGCCAAGCAACGAACACAGGTGTGTACCATACGAAACGAGCTGCAAAGCTCAGGTTTCAATTAGTCTTTGCGGTGGCGACAACAGCAAGAAATGTTTATTACGACACACATTATTTGCAGGAGGATTAACGAGGGACATTAGTTCTTTGGTGGTGCAGGAGCAGCCGACCCCTTGTAAGTTAATTTCGGGCAATTCTCGTGACGGACGATACCCAATTTATTCTTCTTCCCACACTTTTCAGCCGCCCCCAATGAGGAGCGACGTTTCTTCGCGTTCCACGAACGAGGAGTGTCCGTCTACGAGCCCACCACGTGCCGCCTCTACCATCAAATACAATCCACCGATATTATACCAGGAACTCAGGTTTGTTGGAAACGTTTAGCTGAGCGTAATTGTTTTATTTAAACGGAATATTTGTTTTGTTACTTAAGGAATCCGTTTGCGGTGGTAAAGGGGTAAAATGCGTGTGGGGGAGGGCCGTCAACGTTGCCAATAGATACGTCTACGCCACTCAGCCTGACAAGGATCGGATCCTAATCATCTCCAAAGTTCAGATGGTCGTGGTTGACGTAAGTTTAATTATCAAATTGGTCTTATATCATTATTCAAAGTAGTGTAATTATTTTGTTATTTGGACATAACATCTCCTATCTTGTAGATGTGTGCATGACAATACGTGCTTGGTGTTGAAAAGGATCATTTATTGAGAATATATTGTTGTTTGTTTAGGTTGTAGCGACGGATAAATTCCCGGTTGATCTGTATTACGTTCCGCACTTGGATCAAGTATGGATTTTGAATTGGCGCTCGACGAATAACACTGGAATAAAGACGGTACAGGTGATACGTGACGCCGGACAGAAAAGAAAACATCACACCGTGCATCCGGAACCAATCGATGGGCAATTCGACCTCGTGCGAGGATTATTCATACCGTCTCCGAATCAGGTAATATCATCATCATCATCATCATCGGAGGAGGAGGATGTAAACGGTTTCGCCGCATCTGCAAATATTATTGTTTCGTTGTTGTCGGATGTTGTTATTGTTTGCTGTTTTTTTTGCAGGAGCTGTCGCATTACAGTTTCAAGTATGGGTACGTGACGCACACGAACCAGAGGGGTTTGTACAAATTGGACTTGGCCAATTTGCGGTACACGAGGTCCGTGGATCTGACCCCGTACAATTGCGTTCCGGCCCAGGTCCAATTCTCCGCTCTGTGTAAGTGTCATCGTCGCGTTATTAATGCCTCGTCCTCCACCACGTCCACGAGAATTGATTGCCGCACGTCCTCTCAGGGGATGCTACAATCCTCTCCATACTCCCTTCACCATCATCCATCCTCTATCTCTCTCCCACATCTACATCTCTCTCTCTCTCTGTGCGTGTGTATGTCCAACGTTGCGAAATTAATGTTGTCCGACCAATTTCAGACGGCCTGGTGATAATGCAGTGCCTGGAGCCGGTGACTGGTCATCCGACAGGACAACTTCTCTTGGACTATTTAACAGACACTGTTGTCGCCACGAAGCCAGGATTGCCCGGAGTTCCTTTCATCTCTCCGGACTCCAGAAAACTTGTCACACTCGACAGAACGGACAGCGGAGCCACACTCATCGTCCAAGAAATTACACGTAAGTCTTACAAACACCTTCTAAATCATCTTCTTAAATAATATTACAAGTAATAATTTGTATTATTGATACAATTAACACAACAGTTCGCTTCTAAACAAAAAAGCAGATATAATACTGAAATATAGTATAATTATAGTATAGCAATGTTCTTAACGTAATTCTTGCTTGATCAAGTTATAATAACGTGAGACTTCCAAGCACCCTTGTCTTACCTTCTACGTAACATCAAGACGATTATTAGTCCAATTTTGAGATAATCACGTAAACCCAAATCAACAATAACGAGAAGGAAATTACACTAATAGAAACACTTTATACCGCACTTCACATCATTCTAAATTAAGTAACAAACATATATATAAATTACTAATGGCATTGAAATTAATTATAAAAGATTTAATATTAATAGGATTTCTGTCCTTTTGACTTATTAGTAAAATGCGATTATTATTATTATTGCATTTCAACAATTGGAAATTAAACCACAAATGGTTTAAGCTTCCATACACAATCATCAAATGTATAAGTGCTTATTGCATTTGAATAGTTGATTTATGGTTGGACTCATTTATACAAAGATTGTTCGAATTCATCATGAATTCAGCGTAAAATACAATAATATAATATTGGAAATTCTGCGCGCAAAGCAATAATAATTATGGACACAGCCCTTTCCGACCTTTGAGTTACAACGATTTGAAATGTTGTGCATGCAAATATTATTTTGTGCTACGTTTGCTCATTGTGCCTTCAAATGTGTATATGTTAATGATTGCATTGATTGAATTTAAATTAAAAATTTACTAATAATTACCAAATTTATATTTATTTGGGCACAAAATTAATGTTTTAAATAATATTATGAAAACACACACAGTATTTGCACAATTTTGTTTATAAATTAGGTTTTGTTTTCATGAGATACAACACCTCCTTTTTTATGTTTATCTGTAATACACATGTCAACTTTCTAAGAACAAAAATTCTGCGCACAAAGCAATAATAATTATGGACACAGCCCTTTTCGACCTTTGAGTTACAACGATAATTCGAAATGTTGTGCATTGCAAATATTATTTTGCGCTACGTTTGCTCATTGTGCCTTCAAATGTGTATATGTTATTTCAATCATTGATTGAATTCAAACTAAAAATTTACTAATAATTACCAAATCTATATTTATTTGGGCACAAAATTAATGTTTTAAATAATATTATGAAAACACACACAGTATTTGCACAATTTTGTTTATAAATTAGGTTTTTTTTTTCATGAGATACAACACCTCCTTTTTTATGTTTATCTGTAATACACATGTCAACTTTCTAAGAACAAAATTTGATTAATTTCTTCAGTTATAACATCTTGAACTGTATCAGGAAGTAGTCCAAAGTATACCATTTTGATGAATTGAATTACTTCCTTGTTTAGCAACCGGAGTGACGTTCTCGTTCGACGTGAAGACTACTCTGAACATATCCGACATCACGTTCTACCCGAGCGAGACGACGCACAGCTACGACATCTACGCTAGCGCCCAAGACAAAGAGGACATCCTCTTCCTGAACCTTCTGACCGGAAAAGTGGAGATCATAACAGGCGTGGGCAGAGCCATGGCACCGGAAATGGCGAAATGGGGAAACCCGAATCGTCCGATCGGCGGATCAGGTAATCCAAGACAATTACTCACCTCCTGTTTAAAGCAATTTAAAAATGTGAACGAAACACTAAAACGCGAAGCACTCCACTTCGAATCCCAATCAGTCCTTTCCCAATTCCTTAAGCGCTTCAATTTATTTCGCAGCAGCGAGTTATTCATGATCTCATCTAGCGTCCGGCTAGATTCCTGAGGGAACAATCTAAGTTAGTCCTGGGTACTTAGTTTCGACACGATCCTAATGAAATTTTAAATTCACTGGATCTTCTCTTCGAGCATAAGCCAAGTTGTAAATCTCGTTGAACAGTTTATTTTCTATCAATTAACTGTACTGTATAATAATGCTTTAATTTTTAGGACTTTTCGGTCAATACATGGTGACTCCGGCCAACGAAGCTCTGTTCGTGATCAACGGAAGATCTCGGACCGTGAACTGCGAGATCGGAGCTGTGGCTCATCCGAGTTCTATAGTCTGGACAACTTTGAAGTACCATTGAGCAACATATAAGAAACATTAACCAGAAGGGAAACAACACAACAAGGAGAAAAAAATACACGTAAAAATTTTGGAAAAAAAAAATTAAATACACACACATCATCCAAGTTAAATAAATATAGGAAGTAAATGAGGAGATGAAAGAAATATGAATAAAACGCCACCCATCATATATAAATATATATATTATTAAATATACATTTAAGAGTAAGACTTTAGTTTTTTATATATATGTATAAAATTATTGAGGATTCTAAACGTGTTTATAACTTAACACTTATGTAGATAGAAATTGAAAGGAAAAAAATTAATATTATATAAAACAAAATACGATGATTATCACGGTTATTTAAGAATTAAACAATTTCTCAATTTTTTTTTGTTGTTCATTGAAAATTGATTTAAAAACGAAATACATTTACACCTTAACTAATTAAAATTGTTGCATTTCAATTATACAATCACAGAATTAAAAAAAAAACTAAACTCACACTTTGATAGTTTTGCAAATTGTAAACTGTATAGTTGACAACAAGAACTAATTGAATTGTACTCATTTGTTTTTTTTTTATGATGTGTCATGTGATAAATCGTTTGTTTTATTTTCTGATGATGATGAAACACAGCGAAATGGAGAAGTTAATTACGAAAGAAATACTGCTTTTTTTTGGATTTGGTCACTTTTCTAGTCAGTAAGATGTTAATATTAGGAAATTGTTGTAATATAATGATTATGATTGTAAGTAATTGGATAATTTTTGTATTGGTAATAATATTAAGTCTTAAGATCATAGTGCTGTTCACCACTCGACTTCTAAAAAAACAAAAGCAAACACTAGATGACAAAAGAAGGAATACCATTGCCACACAACTTCACAAACTTTATGTAATTTGACACAACACCTCCTAATTCAATTATTCTTAAAAAATCTCCTGTATTGAATCATTGTAGCTTCGATTTTTATAATCGAATTGTTATGAAAGAAAAACAAATCAGCGAATCAATAAATTAGTAATAATTGTGTGGTATTATATAGAATTACAAGTAACGTTTTTAGACTCAAACGAGAGAATGAAAATGAAGAAAAAAAAACTAATTAATAAAAACAACTCTATTCTTAGCTGTACTTTTTAACGGAGATGCAAAATATTATGGATCTTAACCGCCTTTTTCTCGCCGGCTTTTCGCTCTCTTTATCACTATGCCTTTTTCTTGCTTCGAGAATGTTGATATTTACTAAAATAATGATAAGATATGGATGGAATGCTGTAATTGTAAAGAAAAAAAAATAAACAATTACTACAACAGATTGAATGGATTATAACAAGAAAGTAACAAAAAATATGAACATAAAAAATATATTATATAATATTTATGAAACAAAAATTATATATATATATATACATACATACATAGAGATATGATGGTGCAATATTATTTATACAAGGACGAAAAATAAAAATGATTATATTGAAATATATACACACACAAGATTTTCTTTGCACGTTTCTGTCTTTTCATTCACCAATTCCCAATCTATTAAATTTCTTTCGATTTAGCTTTCAAGTTCACAACAAATCTAATCAATTTGTTTGTAAATAATTAAATTAAAATTAAAAAGAAAGGTGTAAATAATTATAATCTATATAATATATTTATAGAATACTTAAGGTAAATAATGAATACTACACGTTGGAAGATTTGGTGGATACAGAAGTGCCTTCGGTGCTGCCCTTATCACTACTTTTCGAGGGCGTCGTCCGACTCACAGTGGACCCACCGGATCTGCTCCTCCTTTTGCCGACACCTTTACCAGTCTTCGGTTTCCTCGATCTCCGCGTCCACCGTTCGCTGTTCTCGAACGATTTGATGCAATTGTAGCACTGCTGCACCAGGAACGACATGATTATGATGATCATAGCAATGACCACCGCTAAAATCTGCAAACAGACAACTGCATCAGACCTAATCTTAAGAGTTCATCGACAAAAAGTGCACGTACTCCAACGATGAGAGCCATGACTTTGATCTTCCTCGAGCTCGTGTCGTACCATTCGGCAACTTCTATGTTGCACATGTGGTAGACGAAGAGATTGGCCACGTCCGTCTGGTCTTTGTCGAATGGTGCGGACATCCAGCCGGGGTCGCATTCGCAGTCGCCGGTCACGTTGTTCAACTTACCATAATGACAATCAATATTTAACTGATGTTACAACAAAAAAAAACGTGTTAAATCCTTGGTGAGGAATTGTCTAAGACTCACCAAGCTTTGGTACGTTTCCTCGCAAGGACCTTTCAAAGTTCCCGCTTCGATTAACTGCAGATCCGACTTCGTCACAGATTTCTCCATGTCCCGACATTTGTTGTTTGATGGTGTAAATATCTAACAAACAATTGCAGTCTCTTTACATTTTCCTCAATATCTCGATAATCACTAATGCTATCATTACTATTAAATACGTATATTAAAGCTAAAACTATAGGGAATCAAACGATTCTAAGGAAAAACATATATCTCTAGCACATTTTTAGCAATTTGCTGTCAAAGTTGAAACAATCAAATTGTAAACGCTTAAAAAGCAATGTCTTTATATTTTCTTCTATATCTCAACTACCTTGAAAGTCATGATTAATAATGAATATGTATATTAAAGCTAAATATGTAAGAAATAAACTGACTTTAAGCGTTATATTGGATCTCCTTTATATTTTTAGTAATTCGTTATCAAAAAATTAAGAAATTAAATTTTAAACGCTAACTTTACATTTTCTTCTATATCTCGACAACCATGAAAGCTATTATTAATTCTGAATATTCATATTAAAGATAAAACTATACGGAATAAAATGAGTATAAGAATAAAGTTGTATCTATAGTATTTTTCTTTGTTATTCACTGTCAAATTTGAAGAAATTATTTTTTTAATGTCTACCCTTTTTCGCTTATTTCTCAACAACTACAAATGTCACGATTATTAATAAATACTCAAATTGAGGACAGTCTTTCTTAGGTATTAGTCTACAAATTCTATCGTATTTCTGAATTTACAAATATTGAATTGTTTGTACTGTCTCGAGATTTGTTGTTTGATGGCGTAAATATCTAACAAACAATTGCAGTCTCTTTACATTTTCCTCAATATCTCGATAAACACGAATGCTATCATTACTATTAAATACGTATATTAAGGCTAAAACTATAGGGAATCAGACGATTCTAAGGAAAAACATATATCTCTAGCACATTTTTAGCAATTCGCTGTCAAAGTTGAAACAATGAAATTGTAAACGGTTAAAAAGCAATGTCTTCATATTTTCTTCTATATCTCGACAACCACGAAAGCTATTATTAATTCTGAATATTCATATTAAAGCTAAAACTATACGGAATAAAATGAGTATACTAGTAAAGTTGTATCTATAGTATTTTTCTTTGTTATTCACTGTCAAAGTTGAAGAAATTATTTTTTAATGTCTACCCTTTTTCGCTTATTTCTCAACAACTACAAATGTCACGATTATTAATAAATACTCAAATGGAAGACAGTAATTCTTAGTAATTAGTCTACAAATTCTATGAGTATTTCTGAATTTACTGAACTATGGCTATTCTGTAAAATTCATCTTACCACGTCTACTAGTTCTTTGGATGGATCGGCGACGCAAACCGGAACCTTCTGGCACCTCTGCCACTTCTTGTTAAAGTAATTCCTGCTACCCAGATACTTCCTGTGGCAATCCACCGGTTTGCATTTGTTCAGCGGATCGAGATCCGGACTGGCGCAGTTGCGAACCTCCGTTTTAGAATAATATCCTTGAGTAAGTGATTGGGAAAAAAAAGTTCCAGAATTAATACAAATATTGGCAAAAATAATGAAGAGAACCTCTGAGTATTGGTGGTGTTGCGACGCTCTTCGAAATCCATGTGTCGAACGTGATGTTGGCCTTCTTCTGTTGGATCTGATCGTGGTCACTTTTGAATTTTAACGAGATCAAGCAATAGCCCCTCCTGTTGTGCAAATACTGCAATTTTTTTAAATGATTTAGTCTTTATTTTATGTTTTCTATGTCGCTTGTTCTATGATTATCTGTTTTTAAATGATTTTCGTGTAAATATATTTGAAAAGTTATTTAGAAAAAAAGATATGTCTTATTTTGAAAGACAATTTCATATATTAAATTTAGATTTTTGTGGATTTTACAATATTTTAGTAGAATTGGGTAGAATATAAAAGATTTTAATATAAATTAATAAATAATAAATAAATTTAATGGGTTTTGAATGATTTTACTGTATTATATTTTTGTAAAATTTAAAGTAATTTAGTGTTTCATATTTGAGTAAAGTATTTTGAAAATGTTTGTTCTATTATAAATTTGGCTAAAATTTAGAGTGATTTAGTTGTTTCATATTTGAGTAAATTTTAAAAGATTTTAATGGTTCAAATTTGTAAAGATTTTATAAGTTTTTGTTGTATTATAAATTTGACTAAATTTTAGAGTAATTTAGAAGATTTTGATATTTCATATTTGATTATATTTTAGAGAATTTTGGAATACTTTAGTGTTTCATATTTGAGTAAATTTCCGAGGGTTTTCGAAGATTTTAGTGTTTTATATTTGAGTCAAGTTTAGAAGATTTTTCTGTTTTATATTTGAGTAAATTTTAGAGTAATTTGAAAGATGCTGGTGTTTTATATTTGACTAAAATTTGGAAGATTTTGGTGTTTCATATTTAAGTAAATTTCAAAGAATTTTGGAATATTTTAATGGTTCAAATTTGTAAAGATTTTATAAGTTTTTGTTGTAATATAAATTTGACTAAATTTTAGAGTAATTTAGAAGATTTTGATGTTTCTTATTTGATTATATTTTAGAGAATTTTGGAATATTTTGGTGTTTCATATTTGAGTAAATTTTAGTGTAATTTGAAACATTCTGATGTTTCATATTTAACAAAAGTTTAGATGATTTTTGTGTTTCATATTTGAGTTATTTTCAAAGAATTTTTGAATATTTTTGTTTATAATATTTGCGTAAATGTGAGAGTAACTTTGGTGTTTCATATTTGAGTAAATTTCCGAGGGTTTTCGAAGATTTTGGTGTTTCATATTTGAGTAAATTTTAGAGTAATTTGAAACATTCTGGTGCTTTATATTTGAGAAAATTTTAGAAGATTTTGGTGTTTCATATTTGAGAAAATTTTAAAAGATTTTGAAAGATATTAGTGGTTCAAATTTATAAGTTTTTGTTGTATTATAAATTTGGCTAAATTTTAGAGTAATTTGGAACATTTTTGTGTTTCATATTTGAGTAAATTTCCAAAAGTTTTCGAAGATTTTGGTGTTTTATATTTGAGTCAAGTTTAGAAGATTTTGGTGTTTTATAATTAAGTAAATTTTAGAGTAATTTAAAAGATTCTGATGCTTTATAGTTGACTAAAATTTAGAAGATTTTGGTGTTCCATATTTGAGTAAATTTCAAAGAATTTTGGAAAATTTTTGTTTATAATATTTGCGTAAATGTAAGATTAACTTTGGAGTTTCATACTGGAGTAAATTTCAAAGGACTTTGGAAGATTTTTGTTTATAATATTTACGTAAATGTGAGAGAATTTTTGATGTTTCATAGTTGAGTAAATTTCAAAGGATTTTGGAAGATTTTTGTTATATTATAATTAAATATATTCCAGATCATTTAGGAATATTTTTGTTAAATTGTATTTGAATAGATTTCAGTAATATTGAGTGGATTTCAATGGATTTTGGTGTATTGTATTTGTGTAAATTTCAGAGAATTTTGGAAGATTTTTGTTTATAATATTTACGTAAATGTGAAAGTAACTTTGGTGTTTCATAGTTGAGTAAATTTCAAAGGATTTTGGAAGATTTTGATATATTATAATGAAATATGTTCGAGATCATTAAATTGTATTTGGATAGATTTCAGTAATATTGAGTGGATTTCAATGGATTTTGGTGTATTGTATTTGTGTAAATTTCAGAGAATTTTGGAAGATTTTTGTTTATAATATTTACGTAAATCTGAGAGTAACTTTGGTGTTTCATAGTTGAGTAAATTTCAAAGGATTTTGGAAGATTTTTTTATATTATAATTAAATATATTCCAGATCATTTAGGAATATTTTGGTTAAATTGTATTTGGATAGATTTCAGTAATATTGAGTGGATTTCAAAGGATTTTGGTGTATTGTATTTGTGTAAATTTCAGAGAAATTTGGAAGATTTTTGTTATATTATAATTAAATATATTCCAGATCATTTAGGAATATTTTGGTTAAATTGTATTTGAATAGATTTCAGTAATATTGAGTGGATTTCAATGGATTTTGGTGTATTGTATTTGTGTAAATTTCAGAGAATTTTGGAATATTTACGTAAATGTGAAAGTAACTTTGGTGTTTCATAGTTGAGTAAATTTCGAAGGATTTTGATATATTATAATTAAATATGTTCGAGATCATTAAATTGTATTGGGTTAGATTTCAGTTATATTGAGTGGATTTCAAAGGATTTCAGTGTATTGTATTTGTATAAAGCAAGAAGTATTTTGTTAAATTTGAAGATTTTCGAATGTGTACCATATTTGGATAAAGCAGCGTGACGTTCTTGTAGCACTTCGGTTTCAGGTATCCCATGTGACCACCGATCAGATACATGAACCCCGAGTCCTTGTCCTTCTCGTCTATAACCTCGGTGCACTCGATCATGCTGACCTTGACCTCGTATCCGCAGATGTCCGAATTCTGCACGGTGATATCTGCAATAACAAAACGTGTCTTTATTGATCCAGAGTTCTTTCAGCTACCCAGGGGCTGCTAGTACCTACAGAATATCATGCCGATGTCATCCCGGCTCAGCGTAGCCACGTTGGCGTCCTACAAAACATAGAAACAAACAAGAATGGAATTTTCGGCAACTCTCTTTTTTTACCCTTATTTCGATTTTTCCGTGCACGACTAGACTGAGTGTATACAGGGCGCAGCAAAGCAATCTAACAAACATGTATTTACATTTGACATTACTGCGCCACGACTACTGACAGCTTGACAAGGCTACTAAACGTACGCATTGATCAAACAAATCACAACGAAATGCCGATCCTCGTCACCGACTTCAACTGGCGTCAGACGGACAAACGCGTCACAATTCGAGTTCCTCTGCACGGAATACACAAATCCAAAGCAGATCTTCTGACCACCAGCAATTACATCAAAGCATCCTTCGAGCAATTCTTCTGCGAGATCTTCCTCCACCGACCGATCGATTACCAAGCGAGCGTCTGCACCTTCAACAGCGTCGAAATAGTCTACGAATTAGTTAAAGTGGACTGCGATATCTGGGATAAACTCGAGAAGGATGGTTTGAGTAAAGCCGAGAAGCGAGAGATCAGAGTTAAAGCGCGAGATGAAGAGGAGACTCGATTGAAGGCCGAAGAGGATTCGAGACGCGGTAAAGCCGATAGTTTGAGGAAGTGCGGAATCTCCGAAGCGATACGCATCGACACTGATAAGAGAAATCGCATCGATATCATCCGCAAAGACGAAAAACTGAACGCTCTCGGCGACGTCGAAGTTTGGAGGCAGAAGACCAAGAAGAAAAAATTACCAAAACTAAAATCAACAAGAATCGATCAACTACCAGAACCAAGGTATTTACTATTACTTATCAATCTATTTAAAGTTTATATCTATTTGTTTATAGGAATCAACAGATAATTAATGTTGAATTCACGTGTTTTATGTTTGAGTCAAGTTTAGAAGATTTTGGTGTTTCATATTTGAGTAAATTTCAAATAATTTTGGAAGATTTTAATGGTACAAATTTGTAAAGATTTTATAAGTTTTTGTTGTAATATAAATTTGACTAAATTTTAGAGTAATTTAGAAGATTTTGATGTTTCTTATTTGATTATATTTTAGAGTAATTTGGAATACTTTGGTGTTTGATATTTGAGTAAATTTCCTAGGGTTTTTGAAGATTTTAGTGTTTTATATTTGAGTAAATTTTAGAAGATTTTGGTGTTTTATATTTGAGTAAATTACAAAGTAATTTGAAAGATTCTGGTGCTTTATATTTGACTAAAGTTTAGAAGATTTTGGTGTTTCATATTTGAGTAAATTTTAAAGAATTTTGGAAGATTTTTGTTTATAATATTTGCGTAAATCTGAGAGTAACTTTGGTGTTTCATATTTGAATAAATTTTAGAGTAATTTGAAAGATTCTGGTGCTTTATAGTTGACTAAAGTCTATATTTGAATAAATTCTACAGTAATTTGAAAAATTCTGGTGTTTCATATTTGAGTAAATTTCAAAGGATTTTGGAAGACTTTTGTTTATAATATTTACGTAAATGTGAGAGAAATTTTGGTGTTTTATAGTTGAGTAAATTTCAAAGGATTTTGGAAGATTTTTGTATATAATAATTAAATATGTTCCAGATAATTTTGAAATATTTTGGTTAAATTCAATCTATCAATCAATTAATCTATTTAAAGTTTATATCTATTTGTTTATAGGAATCAACAGATAATTAAAGTTGAATTCTGGTGATTTATGTTTGAGCCAAGTTTAGAAGATTTTGGTGTTTTATATTTGTGTAAATTTTACAGTAATTTGAATGATTCTGGTGTTTTATATTTGACTAAAATTTAGAATATTTTAGTATTTCATATTTGAGTAAATTTCAAAGGATTTTGGAAGATTTTTGTTTATTATATTTACGTAAATGTGAGAGAAATTTTGGTGTTTTATAGTTGAGTAAATTTCAAAGGATTTTGGAAGATTTTTGTATATAATAATTAAATATGTTCCAGATAATCTTAAAATATTTTGGTTAAATTCAATCTATCAATCAATCTATTTAAAATTTATATCTATTTGTTTATAGGAATCAACAGATAATTAAAGTTGAATTCACGCCTCGCGTTCTTCCGACTCCGAAACGCGAATCCCAAAGCGTCGAAGAAGACGAATGGTTGGCGAAGCAAGCGGAAGCGCGAAGATCCGCAGGATTCGTCAGCGAAGATCTCAGAGATGAAGAGAAGAACCCCGATTACCTCTTAGCCAAAGGCAACGAATTCCTCAAGAATTCCAACTATTTAGGCGCGATCAGCGCCTACTCCTTCGGCGTAGAAATCAGCCCCAACTTCATCCAATTTTACATCAAAAGATCCGAAGTTCACTTCATCGTCAAGAACTACCACAGATGCATCAAGGATTGCTCCGAAGCTTTAGAAAGACTAATCCCAGCGGTCGCGGCGAATCTGAAAGAGCGAGCGATTTGTATCGGTCGAAGAGGTTGCGCCCTCCACAAAGTCGGGATGAAGAAGCAAGCGATCGATGAGTTGAAAGCCTCATTGAAATTAGAAAGAATATCTTTGTTTGAAGATTATCTATTTCATGTTTTGAATGAAGATGAAGAGAGCGAAAATGAAGGATAAGTAATTATAAAATGTGTTTATTTTTTTTTGTTTGGTAATAAAATTATTATCAATAAAATGTAGTATATTTGAGTCAAGTTTAGAAGATTTTGATGTTTTATATTTGAGTAAATTGCAAAGAATTTTGGAAGATTTTAATTGTTCAAATTTGTAAAGATTTTATAAGTTTTTGATGTAATAGAAATTTGACTAAATTTTAGAGTAATTTAGAAGTTTTTGATGTTTCTTATTTGATTATATTTCGGAGTAATTTGGAATACTTTAGTATTGATATTTGAGTAAATTTTAGAGTAATTTGAAAGATTTTGGTGTTTTATATTTGACTAAATTGTAGAAGATTTTGGTGTTTCATATTTGAGTAAATTACTAAGGATTTTGGATGATTTTTGTTTATAATATTTGCGTAAATGTGAGAGTAATTTTGGTGTTTCATATTTGAGTAAATTTTAAAGTAATTTGAAAGATTCTTATAGTTGACTAAAGTTTAAAAGATCTCCGAGATGAAGAGAAGAACCCAGCGGAAACCCAGTGAAAATGGGTAATTATAGTAATTATAAAATGTTTGTGTATTTTTTTTTTGTTTGATAATAAAATTATTATCAATAAAATGTAGTTTACTTACGACTTAAAAAACTGAATTGTGCGCAATAAAAATCAATAGGAGAATGAAATTAATCTAGTGAATGGAAATGCGATGAGTGCACGTAACTACAGTAGCGGCAATAAAATGTGGTAATCGTGGATGGATTAAGGTTTAGATTATTACTATTATTAAGAAATTCATTGAATCATTTTATTATTTAGAAATGTACCAAAATAAATAAACTATTTCGTTTCGTTTCTCAATTTCAATATTATTGTTTCAAATTTGTTTACTCAATCAAGGTACGTAACTATGGTAACAACAATAAATGTCAAGAAATTACTGAATTAGATAACTATTATTTGGTAGTGATGAAGAATTCTTTCACTTTTATAATCGATTTTTTATCTAAAATTTATTGCACTTTTTTACTCAAAAATCAATACATTTTTGCAACTACAGTAATAACAATACATATAGTGAACATACATGGATTAAAAAATTACTAAATTAGGTAACTTTTATTTAATAATGCAGAAGAATTCAACGTTTTCTTTCACGTTTACAATCTTTTTTTTTATCTAAAATTTATTGCACTTTATACTCAAAATTCATTAAGTTCTCGCAACTAAAGTAGTAACAATGGATGTAGTGAACATATATAGATTAAAAAAATTACTAAATTAGGTAACTTTTATTTAGTAATGCTGAAGAATTTTCAACGTTTTCTTTCACTTTTACAATCTTTTTTTTATCTAAAATTTATTGCACTTTATACTCAAAATTCAAAAGTTTTGCAACTACAGTAGTAACAATAGATGTAGTGAACATAATAGATTAAGAAATTACTAAATTAGGTAACTTTTATTTAGTAATGCAGAAGAATTCAACGTTTTCTTTCACTTTACAATCGTGTTTATTT